AGCTGTTGCATTGTGGTAAACTGTGGTCAATGACATGAGACAAAGTATATGTGAACTGCTGTATGGAAAGTAAATTTGCTCTGTAAATCTTCACCCAAACTGCAATAATAATAATAATAAAAGAATGTAACCAATGCCAATGAAAATTACATGTAGAAATTGTGGAATGGGAGCATGTTTTGCTGTATATATTTTCACCAAATATACAAAAAAATATTTTAAAAAGAGAAAGAAATAAGAGTGCAGCTAAAATGACTTTTGTATTTTCAGTTTGGTCTAAACATTGCAGTGCCATTTACAATTGCCAGAGAGGGTAGTTTGGGGTACAGTAGTGGCAGGGAAGTGGGGATGATTTTCACTGGGCATATTGAATCCAAGGAGCCATACTGGGTTGCCAAATGGAATTTCCCCAGTTCTGTAATAAACTATGAAAGCTTCAATTTGACATATTGAAATTCCTTAAACAGGTTTTGTGGGAGCAAATCCTGTACTTTGATAATAAATGAAGATCTGCCCCCCCTTCCCTGTTAAAAGAACACATTTAATCTGGTGGTTTAAGTGATGGCTTTTAAAACAGCCTGCTGTCTCTTCCTACCTGCTGTTCATTTATTAGTTGACTTTGAACTTACTGGTGAATTCCATTGCAGATTGTCTCCCTCTGAAGAAAGAGCATAATAAACACTCTTTTGAGTTATTGCTTGCCTGTTGAAAATGAAGACAGCATTTTCAAAGCTCTTCTGAGTTGCAGAGCCCAGTGCCCCATTGAGTGCTGTATTACTTTGCTTCAGTTTGCTTCCAAAACTTACAGTATTCCAATTATCTTTGTGTTACTGAATTCACTACTAAAGTGCATATGCTTGTTTTCTCAAAATGGCATTTTTTTTTCTGAGATAAAAGTTTATATTTGCCAAGTGAAACATGCCAGATATTTAGCTAAATATGGCATGAAACTCATCCTCATTATAATTTTTTTCTCTCCTTCTCTCAGTGTGCATATATATTTGTATTTGGAGACATGCATCCTGTTTTTGCTCTATTTCAGAATATGTTTTTCAATAGACATTGAAACCACTTACATTTTAATTTTCTGAAGTGGTTTCCTTGATGGATATTTTATTATAGGAAGTACAGGACATCCAAGCCAATGGGACCAGAGACAAAAATGTGAAAGAGGTAAGTCTGGCTTTAGCTTTCTCTTTCAAGGTGACCTCCCTCTTGCCCAAGGGCCCTCCCTCCCATATCCTAATGCTCACAGCCAAGGTGGCCAGGAGTTGTTGGCCTCCATCTCCAGAGAGGCATTTGTGGTACCATTATAAACCTCTCGTGTTGGCAAGTTTACCTGTGATGTTCACTTTAGCCACGTTTGTTTGTAGAGTATTGACTACTTTTACAAGGCAGTGAGTTGGCCTGTGATATTTGCTTTAGCTGTTCTTGTTTGTAGAGTATTAGCAGAGATAATACTCTGCTCTCTCACATAGGGGTCACCAGGAGTCATTATCTACTTGATGGCAACTGGAAATGTAATAAAACAATGCATTTTCTTAAAATTTCTAGAGAAAAGAAATTTTCTAGAGAAAAGCACAGTTATTTCATCCATTTCTTGCTTCTCTAAGAGTTCCTTCTACTGGTCCTTAGAAGATCCTCCTTCTTCTTTTCTCATTTTTGCTTAAACAAACAAGTTTTTGGGTTGAGTTTTTGTGTTTGATTTTTTTCAAAGTTCCAAGCAAAAACAATGGTAATTTCTCCAAGGGGGAAAAAAAATCACTGTGAAGTCTCAAAATGGAATTTTGTTTTTGAATAATGAAATGGCTAACATAGTACAAAATAGATAATGACAGTGACATTTTACATTTGAAGGACACAGGCTGGCAAACACATTCAGAGACTGGATGCTTTGAGACTGTACCACGGGATTATCTATTGTTAAGCGCACAGCTGGTAACTGAAAGGTTGGCCATTCAAATCCGTCCAGAAAGAATTGACAATCTGCTTAAAGATTGCAGCCTAGAAAACCCTACTGGACAGTTCTACTCCATTATATGGGGTCGCTTTGAGTCAATATTCGACTGGAGAGCCCCTAATGACACCACCATTCCGGAAGCCCTCCTCTGGGGCCTGGTCATTGTGGCTGTGGATAGACAGGTTTCTTTCAGATGTGAGGCTTGAGAAGTCTGAGCTTGTCAGGCGCATGTGCTGCTCGATTGCCTGCAGGATCCACTGAACTTTGCTCAAGCCGTGGGTGGCAAAGCACTTGTGTGTGCCTACCCTGCTGTTCAACTTGGAGCCATGACTGGTTTCAATTATGACTTCAACAGGCAGCTTGGAGGGCTCCTCTATTCATTACAGTGCCTCACACTCTATAATTAGTAATAAAGAAACACAGACATTTCACAAATATAAAGGGCTAAACAATAATCAGGCCGTAAAGGCAATGCATTGGGATTTTTCCACCTAGCTCTTTCAAGTTAAAACAATAATAACAACAACTTTTTTCCAGGAGTTCATTTAATTTTTTGCCCTAAAGTAATCTGGGCTGGAATCTCACCTTGGCTAATCACCTTGCTATGATTTTGGGCAACTTACTTAACCTCCTGGTGCAAAATGGAACTAATGATACTTCCCAATTCATGGAACTAATGATACTTCCCAACTCATGGGGTGGTTGTTAGGATGAAAGAAGGTAGATCTTTGTATTGAACTCCACTCATATAAAATCTCATTCAGTAAATGTTCCACTCCACTGTCATTGAATTGTTTCCAACTCTTAGGGACCCTACATGACAGGGCTGAACTGCCCCAGAGGGTTTCCAAGGCTGTAAATCTTTATGGAAGCAGACTGCCTCATCTTTCTCCCGCTGAGCAGCTGGTGGCTTGAACAGGCAACCTTTTGATTAGCAGTCAAATGCTTTAACCACTACACTGCCAGAACGCCTCCATAAATGATAGCTCTGATTATTATCATCATTTGAATTTGCAAGTGAAATGAATGCATCCAGGTAAGAAACAGACATAGATCTTCCTGAAACACTTGGAGATATTTGGCTAGAAAGGAATAGCAGGAATTCTAGGGAAAGGTAGATTTCTCTCTCTCTTTCTCTGTGTCTATGCCGTTATACCTCTAGAGTGTTGTTGTTTTTTAACCTATTACATTTTTCAAATAGAAATACACCAATACCCTGATATGCTGAGACCTCCTTGGGACTATGTCTTCTTCACCTTTGACTTCTAGCTCCTAGGGGAGTTACTGGTAGTTTGTAAAACTCTACAGATGTTTGCTTGCTTAATGAATGAACAACACAAACTTAGTTTTCCTCTATTTTTTTGCAGATGCTCAATAAATATTTTGTAGAGTGAATAAATGAGGGCAGGAATTTTGTTAAGCGCCTGATATATATGAAGATGCACACTTTTTTTAAAAAAAAAAACTAACAAATATTTTTAATAATTGGATGAGATTTCCCAATAGTTAAAATCTCACAGGTTAAATATTGCCACGAACAATAATTATTTGAACTAGCTCAAAGAGAACTTGAAAGAAGGCTTAATTCTGGGACTCAAGTTTTTTAGGATGTCTGATTCCATGAATGCCTAAGGCATTTGACTGCTAACCAGAAGGATGGTGGATTTGAACTCCCCGGAGGGAAGGTTGGGCAATCTACTTCCGTAGTGATATTGCCTTGGGAACCCAAGGAGGGGTCCCTATCAGTCAGATCTGACTCAATGGCAGTGAGTCTGTTTTTTTGTTTTCTTGACTTCATGAAAAGCATTTAGTAGATTCTTCAAACACATGATAAATCCTTTATTACTGTGCTTATAAGTAACACGGTTTACAGAAATCCAAATGTAGTTAAATAACATTGAACTTGAAATCTACCACAGACTCAAGATATACAAGTTATAGTTGGCAAGGCAAAACTTCTCAAACACTAGATTGTTTTAGGTAAAAGATAAATTTCCATTAAGTAATTCCAACATTTTTTTTTTGTCTTACAGACAGTTCCTTTGGCAGTAACTTCCACTTTAGCTTTTATTATATAAAAATATAACAAAATTTCATTATATACAAACATTACATTACACAATGTACAGGTTAAAAACACTAAGAAAATGGCAAGCCTCAAGTGAAATTAAAATCCATAGCATGATAAGAAAAATTAAATACTGCACACATTTCATAAAAATTACATTAACTACATTTTTTTTTGTTTGTTTGTTTGCAAATACCAAACAGTATCAATGTAATTGGAAATAGCTTCCAACAACTTCATTTTAAGGCACATCTTGCATATTTATATATACAACACTGAAACTGGTCAATTAACTTAGGGGCTTCTCAGTGACCTGTGTATGTGTGAAGACATGCAGCATGGGATTACGCATTTTCATTGGCCCCCTTCTTTGGAGACAGATACCTTCCAGGGGGGGACTGGTAGAGGGGCACGCTTATCTCCTGCAGATCTGGGAGCCTCCCTGGGCGGGGAGGGGAGAGCAAAGTGACTGTTCGGTCATAGTCCCTGTGCAGCACTTTCTCGTAGACGCTCTGCAGTCCCACTGTCTTGGGCAGCTGGGCCTGGTAGTAGTTGTCCCTGCGCAGAGGATCCCGAGGCAGGGACGTGCTCTTACAGAAGGTGGACATCTGGGCTGGTGGGTGAAGCGGCGGAGGTGCATTGGGCCCCCCGCAAGAGGGACTCCAGCAGCGGTCAGAGTGGCCAAGGATCTTACACTCTGCTGTGCACGCCCACAGTCCTAACATAAAAGTGAAAGGAAGAGAGCATGATGATTATTACTGAGATTACGCATACCTCCGCATCCATCTTCAGAATGTCAGACAGAGTCAGGGTGGCTGACAAGAAAAGTGTGTATGAAGATGAACACTGTGACTTAAGACTTTACAGACACATCACTTCCTGTTAAAGTACCTTAATAGGAAGCTGGCCTAGCATCTTTTGCTGGAAGAAAAAAAAATCCAAATTCCCTCTTTAGCTGACTAGCACTACTCCTCTCTCTGCCAACAGGGTGGGCTTGTGCTTTACTGACATGGTGGAGCTACTGTCAACTGGGCATTTTGAAATTCACTGTACCAGGCAGGCCTGGTTTGCAATTCCAGGACTGTTGTTGTTGTGTTTTGCCATCAAGTCATAGCAGCCCCTCCTTGAGTTTCCCAGGCAGTATCACTACGGAAATAGATTGCCCAACCTTCCTTCTGAGGAGTGGCTGGTGGGTTTGAACCGCCAGCCTTCTGGTTAGCAGTCAAATGCCTTAGTCACTATGCCACCAGAGAGAGAGAGAGAGAGAGAGGAGAGGAAGGAGAGAGAGAAGAGAGAGAGACAGAGAAAGAGACAGAGACAGAGACAGACAGAGACAGACAGAGAGAGAGGCTGGGAACCTAGATGAAAGGAAGAGAGCAGGGCGGGAGGGGAAAAACGCTTAACTTGGCGGGGAAGAAAAGTACTCACCACTCTGCATGTGGTTGATGAGATCCTTTTTCAGAGCGTCCCCGCTGATGTCGGAATCGCTGTCGTTGAAATCACTGTCCCCTTTGCCGCTGTCTTTGCCGCTGAACTTCTCCGCTTCTCGGCCAGAGATGGTGTTGAAAGAGTGCCCCTTCCAGACAGCCACAGGGGGCGCCGACTCCTTCCCAAAGCCGGGGGAGGCACCGTAGGGCTGCAGCAGGGAATAGGGGAGGATAGAGGGTTGGGAAAGAAACAAACAAAATAGTATGGTAAGTTAAGCATCTCCTGCGCTCGACCACCCCGACCCCTCCTGTCCCTTCCCCCAGGCTGTCCGCAGAGCACGGAGAGGGGCGCCCAGCCAAAGGAAGGCCTCACCTCGGCGTGCGCGCCGCGGAGCCGCTGCTGCCCCTCGAAGTGACAGGCGCTTTCCCCCGTGGCGCTGCCGCCCTCCGAGCGCGGCACTTCGCCCGCGGCGACCGCGGGCGGGGGCGCGTCGGCCGCGGGGCTGCCAAAAGGCGCTTTGCCGCTGCCAGGGAAGGTGAGCACGTCGAACATGTTGGGCCTGGGCCCAGCTCCCCGGGCGGCCTCCTCCGGGGAGCCGGGAGCCGAGGCTCCGCCGCCCGCCGCCCCGGGCCGCTCTTCCCGGAGGGCCCCCCCTTTGCGCACCTCCTTCTTGCGGCGGTTGCAGGTGGTGGCGATGGCGATGATAGCGGCCAGCAGCAGCGTGCAGCTCCCGGCCAGTACGATGATGACGATCAGCGGTGTGTCCCATTGCAGCGCCGGCCCCGACGCTCCAAGCCGAGAGCCAGGCGGACGGGAGCGCTCCGTGCCCTCAGGACTGGAAGGCCCCTCTGGCCCGCGTCCGCCTCCTGCGGTTACTACAAAGCTGACTGTGGCGCTGGTGGATAGAGGTGGGCGGCCGCCGTCGGAAACGACCAGCAGCGCCCGGAATACGCGGCCCGGGGGCTCCAGCGACAGGTCGCGAGTGAGCACTATCTCCCCCGTGCGGCGGCCGATGGCGAAAGCTTCGCGTGGCTCCTGTTGCAGCAGTTCGAAAGCCAGCTCCCCGTTGGCGCCATCGTCCGCGTCCCGGGCCTGTATGCGTGCCACGGCCGAGTCCCTTGCAGTGCGTCCGGGGACTGCCACTTCTAGGGAGCCGTTGGCCGGCGCTGGGTGCACTAGGACTGGCGCGTGATCGTTCTGGTCTAGCACCCGCACTTGCACCAGGGCGCTACTTGAGAGCTGAGGTGAGCCGCCGTCGCTCGCCTGGATGCGCACGTCCAGCTGGCGCAGGGCCTCATAGTCAAAGCTGCGCAGAGCGTAGATGGCCCCAGTGGCCGGGTCCACCGAGACGTAGGTGGACACGGCGTCCCCTGCGCGGCCCACCTCGGCTTCCAGCAGCTGGTAGGTGACCTGGCCGTTGCGGCCCAGGTCCGGGTCCCGGGCGGCCACGGTGGCCAGGTAAGCCCCGGGTGGGTTATTCTCGCGCACCGACACCTCGTAGACTGGCCGCGTGAAGAGTGGCGCGTTGTCATTTTCGTCGCTCACGCGCACCGTGTAGGGTCTCACTGTGCGCAGCGGGGGCGCGCCGCGGTCCTCCGCCACCAGCGTCAGGTTGTACTCGGCGATTCGCTCGCGGTCCAGCGAGGCCGCAGTCACCACCAGGTAACTGCCCGCGTAGGCAGGCTGCAGCCGGAAGTGCTCGTGCCCATAGAGGGCGCAGCGCACCTGCCCGTTGGCGCCCGAGTCCCTGTCCGAGGTGCTGACCAGCGCCACCAGGCTCTCTCGTGCCGCCCCCTCCGGGACTAGCGAGGTGGCGCCGGCCTCGGGCGTCCCGGACACCCCCGACGAGGTCGCTTCTGCACCCCCGAGAGCAACAGCGGCCGCAGCCGCGGCGATGGGAGAAGTGGCAGGCGTTCCCGGGGCGGCTAGAGGGGTGATGGCGATGTCGGGCGCATTGTCGTTGACGTCGCGGATGCGCACGATGACCTTGCAGGTGGCGGCGCGGGGCCCCGGGCCGCGGTCCTGCGCCCGCACGTCCAGCTCGTAGGTGTCCTGGCGCTCGTAATCCACTGGCCCTGCCAGGGTGAGGCGGCCTGAGCGCGGATCAAGCCGGAAGAGGCGGCGCGCCTCGGGTGGAGTGCGGGCGCCAAAGGCGAACACCACGTCGCCGTTGGGGCCCTCGTCTGGGTCAGCCGCGTCCAGGTCGAGCAGCAGCGAGCCCACGGGCGCGTCTTCCGCGAGCTCCACTTCGGCCACGGCGCCCTGCGGGAAGGCCGGGCTGTGGTCATTGGCGTCCAGCACGCGCACGCTGAGGGCGGCCGTAGCAGAGCGCGGCGGGCGGCCGCCGTCCTGGGCCACCAGCTCCAAGCTGTAGGCGGCCTGGCTCTCACGGTCCAGCTCTTGCAGCAGCACCAGGTCCGCGCACTGGGCGCCGTCCGCGCGCGTTTGCAGCTCCACACGGAACGGACTGTGGGGCTCGGCCAGGCGCACACTCTGCAGCCCGTTATTGCCCACGTCCTCGTCCACTGGCACCTCCAGGGGGATGCGCGTGCCCACAGCCGCGCCCTCGGACACCTCCACCGGGATCTGGGCCCGGGGGAAGCGCGGCGCGTGGTCGTTGACGTCCCTCACCTCCACCTCCACGTGCACCAGCCGGAACTGCTCCTGTGAGAAGCTGACCACGTCGAAGGCCAACACGCACTGGGGGGCCCGGCCACACAGGCGCTCGCGGTCCAGGCCCGCGTCCCCGACGGTCAGCTGTCCATCGCCCTCTCGCACCCGAATCAGCGAGCTGTTGAACTGCTTCATCAGGCGGAAGCTTGTGTCTCCAGACACTTTCATGTGCAAGTCCTCCGCCAGGGTCCCTATAACAGTACCAGGGGCGTCCTCCTCGAAGGTGCTGTATCTCACCGTTTTGCTCTGGGCCACTGAGAGCACCCAGCAGAGACTGAAGAGCTGCAAGGGAAAAAGGCAGGGACTACCCCCGCGCTTCCTGGGACTCATGCCGCCGGCCCCAACTGCTATTCCAAATGGCTGACAGCCCTTTATGGTTTTTAGGTCTGGGCGCGAGTCCTTCGCCAGCTCGGGGCGGGAGAAGTCTTCCGGCTGCTGTTCTGCTGCTCTGGCGGGTTCAGAGGACGCTTGGTCCAGCCCTCACTCGGTGCCTCCCCCTCCGTTCTCCCCGCTGGAGCTGCACCGCCGCGCGCCGCCTCAGCCTTTATAGCCGCAGATATGCAAATAACCCGGGCTAGGCAGCCAATGGCGGGTTCGCCCTCTCGTCGCTCCTCTGCCTGCCTCACACAATCCCTTTAATGTGGAAAGGCTTTGGGAAAACAAGAAAGGAAAATTAGGGAATCTTTCCATTGTTTCTTTAACTCTTTTTGTTTTTCCCCTCCTTCCTGTCAGCGCTCTGCATGCAGGGGAGTTGGCACGCGGCTCTGGGAGTAAATGGGATGGATGGTTTTGTTAATTGTACCCCTCCCGCGCCTCCTGCTTGGGCTGAGTGCGAAAATCCTGGAGTTTCGCCCCAGTGGCTTGGGCTCCCCACTCACTCTCGACATTTTGCACCTCCGAGGCTTCCAAAGGCTAGCAGCCCCCTCTTCACAGACGCTTTTTTTTTTTTTTCTCTGCCGGACGAGGCTTTGCTTGCCTTCTCTCCTGGCTTCCCACAGAGCCCGGAATAGTCTCTCGATTAAGGAGCCTGAAGGATAAGGGGAAATTGATTTTATTCAAATTTGTGTATGCAATTGTGTTTTGCTCGTGTGAGCCTCAGTGATCAGAGCTGCCATTTCCCTTTCAGAAAGGAGCCCTGCGATGTGTTAGTATGCATCTCACTGTCCAAGTGGCTTTCTTAAGTCCTGGGCGCTAGCAGGCAAGGGGGGAAAAAAAAAAAGTTCCAAATAGGATTTAGCATAAGCTTGAGGAGATTTGGAAAGGTTTCAAAGATCAGACTGTATCAAAGGCTTATGAAGCCCTCGTTAGCAGTGGAAATAGAATGGCGTGGCAGGCGATCTCATTGGAGACCCCAATGTCTGTATTATTTTACTGTGACAAGCTAAGGGGAGAGAAAGTTGAACAGTTTCCACAGCGGAGTTGGGCTAACTTGAATATAATGAGCAAACGCCACATGTATCCATTATGTTCCTCTATTCATCCCCAATCACTGCCATAACTCTCTGGCTAAACGATGATGAGCGCTGAATTCCACACAATACCCGGCTGGTATTAAAGTGCATTTAGAGAACTTTCCCTCCTGATACCCTGTTCTGCCTATTTAAAGGATTTTCTTTATGTTCTAATAGGGTCGCTCTGGGAAACAACACTCGTCCAGTTCCAGAAGAACAAAATCACAGCATGAGGTTGAAACCTGGCATGAACCTGGCGGAACGAAACCATCTGCCTACCAAAGTGTGGAGCTCCGGCACAGCCGAGCTCTGGGTTGGGTTGGTACCAGGGTTGACCTGGCACTGCGATGCCCCTACAGGTGACCCTCTTCTCCCACAATGAAGGCCAGAGAGACGGGTTACAATACAGAATAACACGGATTCTTAATGATTCTTATTGAAGGGCTTTATTGAGCAGGCTATGCAAATACACATGAAGGAAGAGAGGTAAAAACAAAAGCCACGCACTTGAAGAAATTAAAAAGGCGAAACGTTTGATAACCAGATTGCATTTAGTAAATGTTCATCTGAACCCTGATTTTAGTTCTGCTGCCAGCGTCCTCTGTTTTCCTTTCCCTCGAATCTGAGGGAATATGTTTTGGTGTCTACCCTGAGAAGAGCAGGAGTTCCTTCAGAGTAAGGAGGACAAGCAGGGAGCTGGGAGAGCAGTGGGCGTGGGGAGGATGAGAAAAGTCCTCGGATGTCGGAGACCAGAGAATGCAGCCCCACACATCAATACAAGCTTTTAGGAGATTGGGAAAGGGGGCGGTAGATAGTTGGGGGCTTCTTCAGAGCAATCATGCCTGCCTCTCGTTTTTCTCCTCCGTCTCCTTCACCTTGCAGCCTCTGAGTGCTTCTGCAGCGGCGAGGGAATATGGAAAGGATGGACATCCTCTCCCCTCGAAGCCCAATTTCCACCCTTCTTTTGAACTTTTTCCCCTTCCCAAATGCCATTTAATGTCTGTCTATCTCTCCGCCCCTACCCAATATTCCTCGGCGATCTCCGCAGCCGAAAGAACCTTCTATTTCCAAGCCCCAAAACATCCCAACGCCCCTTGCCTGGGACTAGCTGGTGACCCTTGAGGCTCCCAGGATTCAGCCATCCCTCCTCATCACCCACTCCCCGTTGGTCCAGAGGGATCAGATTCAGAACTCCGCAGGCGGACAGCGGCCTTCGCACTTCCGCTCGCGTAACCTGGAGGGGTCAGGCAGGCGCTGCGCGGCACTACGGGGCGGAGAACTGGCTGGGGGTGTGAACGCGGCTAGTGTCTGCGCTGAGAGCTTACCACTGGAATTGCAGCGAAAAGGTGACTTTAGTTGTTTTCTCGAGCAAATACCTGCCCAGAGCCCAGCTACGAGTCTCCTGTCGACAGCGCCCCGCTCTTTTTTACGCGCTTGCACCTCGCGGTTCTGTGCTAGGGGCAGAACTCGGGGCCCGGGTGTTTAAGTTTGTTTGTTTTTGCTCGGCAAGAGCATTGAAACTACCTGCAACATTACTCAAAGCACTTTCACTTTAGTGGAATTAGTATACTCCTTCTCAAGGCTGAAATAAACGGAGGCGTGCTTGGATGCGGAAGAAGCGAAGAGCCAGAAGCAGGCAAAAGCCAATAGGCAGGAGGAGGGCTGTGTGACGGCAGTGGGAGCTAGGAGCCGGCCCGCTGCATTGTATCCCCTCGGAAGTAACTACGGCAGCGGCGGAGCCAGGCGTCTCGGAGCCGAGAGCGCAGAGCCCGAGGCGGGGAGCTGGGAGCATGGCGGCCGCGGCGGGTGCGCGGAGGTCTTTCGAAGAGGCCGCCGAGGTGTGAAGGCACGCGAGCAGGGGGAGCTCTGAGCCCCGCCGCCAGCGGATTATGGAAATACATTTTAAAATAGCGCATCAGCGGGCACAGCAACTCCCCGGGGAGGAAAAATGTCCGGGAAGGGGGGTATATGGGGAAGGGAGGGTGACTGGCCTGTCTTGGCGAGCATCTAGCCCACAAAAGCCGCTCCAATCGCCTTGTTACCATACCAAAAGGCCCGGCCAGCTCAAAGGAGTACCTTTCTTTCGGGTTTAGCAACTTCGCCGGCAACTGTCTCCCAATCCTGAGAACAAACACCGCTACACAATGGCTGGCGTTTTCTTGGAATGCAAATGGTGCGGGGTCCGCAAAGCTGCGTTTCCGTTACCGAGCCTAATGCCTGCTTTGTGAAACTCGCGTGCAGACCCCGAGATTGACACAGGCGTCACGTGACGGGTTAGGGCTAGAGGAAAGTTTTCAAAGCCGAAACAATGGGGGGGCTCAGTCTGATCGGCTATCTCCCACAGTTTAGCGGGAAAGAAAATCAGGATATATTCTCATACGTAATAGGATTATCTTTTCCATTTCAAGTTCTATACAGCATGTAATTTATTTTTAATTAGGATTATATCTACCAGGAAAAGGAACTAGACGTCATTGGAAAGTGTAATTCTAAGGATGGATGGAGAAAGATTATTTTTTTTAACCTTTTAACTTTTTTTTTTTTTTGAAGCTGAGGGCCCGTGGTTTTCCTTACTGGCTCACTCCATCGGATAAACCTCCCAGGGAAGTTTGCAGCCAAGTGCTCAGCTAAACCGATGCAGTTCTTCAGGTGCATACAATTCATTACCTCAGAGAAACCGCACTTTGCAAAACAGCTCTTAGAATTCCCAAATCACTGGATTTGACAAGGGTTAACTCAAAACTTACTGCCATGAATCAATTCCGACTCATAGCGACCCCCACTGGGTTTCCAAGGCTGTAAATCTTTACGGAAGCAGACTGTTCAATCTTTCTTCCGTGGGATGGCTTGTGGGTTGGCCCTCTAGAAATGCAACTAAGCTCTTTTCCACGCTCCACTTGACTCCTCTTTTTTTAAAAAAAAATTAAAGTCGTGTGTGTGTGTTTGTGTGTGTGTGCGCACGCACGCCTATGTGTGTGCCTGTGTGTATGTGTATTGATCTGTCAATACTGACAAAGTGACTTTTAAACTTTATACCCAATCACAGAACAGCATCCTCCATAGCTCCAATTCAAGCTCAGCAGTCAGACAATGAGACAGTTTTGGGGTCAAGGTAACTGTTGTTTAAACATTGATTTTGGATTGATCCCAACGCCAGATGCTCACAAATCCTTGAACATTTTCAGGCCTTGGACCATTCATCCTTTTGTGTGTTCTGTGAGTCAGGACACTCTAGGAGATCTACTTTAGTCAATAAGTAGCAGAGCATAGCTGTTAACTGCAGGCTCTGGAATCAGACTGTTGTTGTTAGGTGCTTTTAAGTCACTTGACAGGTAGTCCCTGACTTACTTATGACATATTTAACTTACCAGTGGCGTAGTGCCTAGGGCATTTGACTGCTAACCAGAAGGCTGGTGGTTCAAACCCACCAGCCACTCCTCGGCAGGAAGGTTGGGCAATCTACTTCTGTAGTGACACTGCCTTGGAAACCCAAGGAGGGGTCGTTATGAGTCAGATCTGACTCCATGGCAGTGAGTTTGGTTTTGGTTTTGGTAACTGTATTTACCACTGTCTGTTTTTTTTGTACATCCTATTGTTAGCAATATATACAAACCCACTGCCAGTTGAGTTGGATCTGACTCATAGAGACCCCTCCTTGGGTTTCCAAGGCAGTATCACTGCGGAAGTAGATTGCCAAACCTTCCTTCCCAGGAGTGGCTGGTGGGTTTGAACTGCCAACCTTCTGGTTAGCAGTCAAGTGCCTTAGGCACTATGCCACCAGAGATCCTTAGTAATATGTACTACGTACAATATTGCACCACATAATTTGCTGATGTTATTCTCAAATGTTCACTCACAGATGTTTATATGTAATGTTTCCAACCCCTGAAGTCAAATAAAAATCAGAATTATAAAGATGCTGGTAATAAAAGGCAATACAAGTATTCCCTGCTTTTTGAAAGTTTGCTTTACACTGTTTTACTTTTACGAAAGACCTACATTAGTATTTGTTTTTGCCAACCGAAAGAAATCTAAAGAGGATTTCTGCTTTTA